GTCAGCTGCGTTGGTTACCAGCTGAGTACCGGACCCGCTTCAAGGTGTTGGTAATAACCTTCAAAGCCTTATACAGCCTGGGACCAACATACCTAAAGCACCACGTCTTCCCGTATTTGCCCCGAAGAGTGTTAGGAAATATAAAAAGTATCTGGAAAAAATATTTTAATCATGGAGATAACCAGGGCTTTTTTTGTAGAAAAAGGTCCAGCATGAACTCATTAGCATAATAGGCCACACCCAGCAGCAGAAACTCATTAGCATATTAGGCCACACCCCTGACTGCACCATGCGGCATATTAGGCCGCATTCCCATGTTACCAGAAGTGTGGTCATCCAGCCACACACCCCTTTTGCTTCTTATTCTGTTTACCTTGTTTGTTGTCAAAACCCAGGGCCTTTTTTTGTTGCAGGAACTCCTTTGCATGTTAGGCCACACACCCTTAATGTGGCCAGTACTAATGAGTTCCTGCTGTTGGGTGTGGCCTATTATGCTAATGAGTTCCTGCTGGATGTGGCCAACTTGGGAGCCAGCCGGAACTCCGTTCCTGTGCGTTCCTGCCCAAAAATAGCCCTGGAGATAACTGTTTATGATAGCTGTCTTCTGTTAATTATCTTGCATATTCGCCTTCATCTAATGTTGCCTGCAAGGGATTCCGAGGAAAAGGTGCTTCTGTATCCTAGCAGCATGAATTATATCTGGTAAGTAAATCACAAGCTATCATCTTTTCCATCAGCAAAAATGTTCTCAATGTGTTTTTAAAGCATTGTAGCTTCTGTGGTTCTAATAGAAAAGCTTTTTTCTAATGCAGCATATTACGTCAAAATGCTGGATTTGGAAAACAGATGCCTTGAGCTCAAATCCTGGCTCATTCTGCAACTTTCTGGATAGCCTCGGGCAAGACATGCAGAGCGAAGCCTTTCTTCTTCATCTGTAAAATGGAATCCGCAGCAGCCTACCCTATAAGATCGCCATGAAGATTAATTTCAATGCTTTTGATTACTGAAACATCCTACAGAAAATAAAGAATCGTTCTGATACTTATGCTGCCCTTCTTCAAAGAATGCAGGGGCAACATGCCCCTTTTAGCTTCAGAACCACCCTGTAGATTAGGAAAAAACAGCAACTAGCCCAAGGTCACCCAGCGTGCTTTGTGGCAGAGTGGGGATTTCATTATTTATGCTCCGACATGCTGGATTTTATTAAATTGCCCTTTAACGGACATTTCTCCAAAGTGATTTAAAAAATCCTAACAAGAGTATTCAAGAATGTGGCAGAGGTTGAAAAGAGAAACAGATTAAGATACATTAGACAAAATACTTATATCCAACACTCTGTTTAAAATCCATGAGGTAGCTATGAAGGTTCTGAGGAACAAATGATAAGGAGTTACCCCACTCTAAGTTGCAAGTAAGGGCTAAACATTTGAACACTCCCGCTTACAAAACAACTCCCTGTATATATCAAACTAGTATCTTGGAAAGAAGGACCTGTTTTCTTGATAGCTCTTCAGTGATGGGCAGATGTCCTCCCCTATCTTCGGGCAAATTATTTTGTCAAGTGCCCTCCAAGTTGGGCAAAGAATCTGGGCCCTGAACTTGGCAGATTAGGCCTAACTGTGGGGCCCTAACACAATGTCCCTCTACCAAACATCTTTTGGACGTAGAGGGGATTTGTGGTGGTTAACATAGTAAGGCCTCTGTTGGGCCTTAGATGCTGCCATGAGCACACAAAATAGCATCCAGAACTTCTAGGAACCATGGAAAATACAGTTCCTATGGCTCCAGACATCCTGAGACCCTACATGAGGCCCTGCTTCAGCACGGTAGGAGGGTTACCAGGTCTGGGTTGGGAAATACCTGGAGACTTTGGGGGTGGATCCAGGAGAGGGCAGGGTTTGGGGAGGGGAGGGGCCTCAACCTGGTACAATGCCATAGAGTCCACCCTTCAAAGCAGCCCTTTTCTCCAGGGGAACTGATCTCTGTCAGCTGGAGATAGGGTTGCCAAGTCCCCCCGGGGGGCGGGGAAACCCCCGCCCGAGAGGCCCGTTTCCTGCCGGAGGGGCTTGGGCCACCAGGGGGACCCCAACCCCAAAGTCTGTGATGTGCCCGGTGTGAACATATCACCCGGAGGTGACGCAATCACATCGGGCACGTTGCGGGGGGACACTCTATCATCCGAGGGAAAACTCTACGGTTTCCCCTCGGATGATTGTGGCCCTGCCCCCAACATGTGCGTGACGTCTGGGACTCCCCCCACTATTACAAAGGTAGGACTTGGCAACCCTAGCTGGAGGTAAAAGCGGGAGATCTCCAGGCCCCACCTGTAGGTTGGCAAGCCCACATGGTAGTCTTGCTATTTTCTCTGGAATGATGCTTCTGATTAGTCACTGTACCGCCCATTTTTTAGCCCTATATGAACTACTTCAACACAATTACCTGGTCCTTTAAACAAACCTGCACAGTGATACTCAAACTTCATTTTCCAAGGGCCAAAGCATATTAAAAACTTCTGGGGGTTTTTTGCATTCACAAGACAGTACAATTCAGGGTACGAAACAAAGACAGTTTTTCACTCACATGGTGCGTAGAACATCACTAATACAGAAGGATGCTCCTTCATAAACTTGTCGAAGTCATCATCTGTTAGGTGATAAACGGCATTATCCTCTTCTGGCCACGGTGCTTCTGGTGTCTGTGGCTTAGGTGGCTGAGGACTAACCAAAAAAACAGCAACAAAGGTTGGTAAGGGACAGCTGTCTTAACCAACTTGATCTTGAGAAATTCAGCTGATTATGCATATGTTACCATCCTTACTCTAGGAGACAACTAATTAAATGTAAATAAAAATGAAACACTGAGGGGAGGGGAGGGAAAACTAGACACTGGAATTTGTAACGTCTGCAGAACGTACAAGGTACACTACAGACAGAACCTCATGATAAATCATACATGCATTCATTCTTTTGCATCCTTATTACCCTTGTTTTGCTATTGATAATCCTAATGTGTACCAAGAAGAAGAAATTACAAGATATCAAGACATTCTAGGTCCCAAAAATAACCTGACATTAGTGCAAAATTTTACATGGTGGCAAAAGGTACAAATGGAATCTAGATATGCTAAAGATAAACCGTTAGGCTTTTATGACAACCCTTTAGAAGTAGATAAGATTCTATTGTACGTGGAACAAAAATGTGTTAAAAAATGTATACTTTGTTATTAGAATACAAGATGCAAGATGAAGTGCTAGAAAGCAACAGCCAAAAAGATGAGTTGGCCAACAGTAGCTAGGCAGTGTGAATCAAACTTTATTTGTTGTTGTTGTTCAGTCGCACAGTCGAGTCCGACTCTTCGCGACCCCATGGACCAGCTCCCGCCAGGCCTTCCTGTCTTCCACTGTCCTCTGAAGTTTGCTCAATTTCATGTTCGTTGCATCTATGACACTGTCTAACCATCTCATCCTTTGCCGTCCCCGTCTTCTTTGACCTTCAATCTTTCCAAGCATCAGGGTCTTCTTCTCCAGTGAGTGCTCCCTTCTCATTTGGTGGCCAAAGTATTTGAGCTTCAGTTTCATTATCTGGCCTTCCAGGGAACAGTCAGGGTTGATTTCTTTGAGGATTGACTGATTTGATCTCCTTGCAGTCCAAGGGACTCTCAAGAGTCTCCTCCAGCACCATAGTTCAAAAGAATCTATTCTTCGGCGCTCGGCCTTCCTTATAGTCCAACTCTCACAGCCATACATGACTACTGGGAATACCATTGCTTTGACCATGCGGACTTTTGTTGGCAGGGTGATGTCTCTACTTTTTATCATGCTGTTTAGGTTCGCCATCGCTTTCCTCCCAAGGAGCAGGCGTCTTTTAATTTCATGGCTGCAGTCACAGTCTGCGGTGATCTGGGATCCCAGGAACGTGAAGTCTGTCACCACTTCCACGACTTCCCCTTCTATTTGCCAAGGAGTGATGGGACCGGATGCCATGATCTTAGTGGACCCCTGGCTTTGACCATGCGGACTTTATAGACTTTATAAACTTTATAGAGCAAAGCTATTCAAAAATTTACTGCCCAAAAGAATGAAGCATTTCCAAATTATGCCTTTTTAAGCTGCATCTTTTAATTTTCCTCTCAAGCGAACAGCTCAGTAACTCACATTTCCTGGAAGGCTGAATTCTCTCTTTCCATGCTCAAGAAATAAGAGGCCTCATTAGCGAAAGTCTGAAGTGCTGAAAAATATCCCAAGATTATATGTATTTTTGAAAGGAACTAAAATTATTCTGTACTAAGTGCCTTGAGATCCTTCATGAGAAGAAATACTCTACACAGTTCCAAAGCACATGGACCGGAGTTGTCTGGAAGGACTCCTCCCTGCCTTCAAGACTTTTAATTATTCTCATAGCTCTTTTTTAAACCCTTTCCAGTTATATACACATTGATTATCACTATCACAGCTAAAGACACTGAATTCTATCGATAGAGCAGGTTTATGGAAGAGATCTACCCCTGCCAAGTGCAGCCCCCAGCCCAAGCCCCTCCGGTGGGAAGCCGAAAGTAATTTTCCAGGACAGCCACTACCATCAGGAACATCACGGGTGTAATGTGGGAGAACTAGCAGAAATCCCTTTTCACATGAGTATAGCATATCTTCTTCACATTAACAAGAGCAAAAGCTCACGAGAGGGATGAATTAATGGCGCTGACTACACCAGGCTGTATCATTTCACAGGTCTTAATTAAAATAAAGTTGAATATAATTTAACTTGACATTAGGCTCTTGAGCCCTAGCATCTCATTGGTGACTTGTTATCCACTACTATCTACAAACTGTTCACCTGGTATTCAATCAGTGTTTCCTTATGTACAACATTGTACGCTTATCCTTATTACATTTTATCAATCGAATGCTGCAATTTATTAAAGTTATTTTGAACTTCTGAATTCTAACATATAACGTCCTCGCCCATTACTTTGAAGAGTACTATCCCTCTAGACTTTCATACTAATCGTTATTTTTTAAAACAGACTAATACCTCAAGTTGTATATCACCTGAGTACTGAAGCCATGTTAGAAATAGTAACTTAAATTTCCAATCGGTGCATTTTAGAAACAGTTACACACATGTGACACCACACATTGTATTCCTAAATATGTCATAAGAGGACCAGCTTAAAGGCTTAACTAACATTAAGGTGATACTATATCCTGAATTACCTCAGATAAAACCTGTTATCTTAAGGGGAACAGAGAAACTAAATTGGTAAGGAACAATTAAATCCTAATAAATTAATGTCAGCTATTTGTAATTACTTCATTTTCTACTTATTAGGATTCACTCAAATACTCCCCAAGGTGATGAAAAAAACTCAGTTTTGTGACTACTGAGACAGGAACTACTGTTTCTCCAGTTTGTAAAACAATAGGTATTTAGTATATTTTAAACCTTTACCTTAAATTAGAAACAATAACATAGCAACATAATAATTAAATACAAATCTAATAATAATAAAATTGTGTGAAATACTTAAGGGCTCAATGCACTTAATGTGCATTAATTACCTCAGCATCCTTTATAATAACTGTTATAAATATGTCATTAGTGCAGAGAGAGAGGTTTATGGGTTCAAGGCAGAACTCAGGTTTGAAACAAGAATTTTTGGCTTACAAGTCATGTTCTAAACCACTATGCTACACTGGCTACTTTTACAGTATATTTAATAGGAAACTGGCTGGTGCTGGAGTGGGTAATGAACACTATAAAGCCAGGCCCCCTGCAAAAAAGGCAGGGGTCTTTACGTGTTCAGAGGAGTTCCCAAGTGTTTGGGGGAAAACCTATTTGCGAATTAATTTAAAAATCATCTCACAAAATTGGTCTGATGAGCACAGAAAGTACTTCAGAAATGACAACTGAGTGATTCTCGGGACCTAACTAAATGAGGAAATACTGTAGGTTTAAGGCATAACAGTAGTAAGATGAGGAAATAGGAAAAAAACGATTGGAGTGATCTTGGAATATGAAACAGATGCCTGATCTTGGGATACAAAATATCCTTATCTATTTTTAGTTCCATGACAACTAACTGAAGACACTAAATGGAATACCTCTCTCTACCTAGCATATAATCATAAGTAACTGGCTGAAGGTGGCAGAAGAACAGGACAGACTGGTTGTAAGGCACAGAGGACCGTCAACAGGGGCCCAGCTGGCAGCAAGAGTTATATTCAAGGGAATATGTTGACAGGATAAATGAGGACACTAGAATAGTCAATTCATCAAGCAATATGGGAAGGAATAGGGAAAACTTCACGAAAACCATAAAAAGGAAGACCAGAATAATAAAAATAGGGAAACAAATGGAAAATTCAAGGCTATGGGGCTGAGCATCTTATTCACTTTTTTAGGCAGTTTATTCTGACTACCTGATGATTTTCTAGTCAGTTACAGTCAGGCCAGGTAAGCAGCCAAGTATTAAGCAAGCAAGTACAGAGACAAAATATGTTAGTGATTCATTGATTTTTTAAAAAAAATTGGGACAAGGAAAAGGATTCAATTTTCAGTTTTTCGCGGTGTGAGTTCTGCTGAGGTTGGATGACAGAGAGCAGTGAAGCCAAAGTTGTTGAAGACCATTGCATACCTTTGAATAGGGTTGCCAAGTCGTTGCAGTCGCCGCAGTGGGGGACTCCCGGGCAGCGACTGGAGCGTGCGCACACACCGCACGCACGTCACCCGGAAGTGACGTTAGGACAGCGGGCACGCTGGGGGCGGGGCCACGACCATTGGAGGGAAAACCATAGAGTTTTCCCTCCGATGGTCATGGCCCCGCCCTCAGCGTGCTCGGCGTCCTAACGTCACTTCCTGGTGACGCGCATGTCCGGGCGGGGTTCCCCGCCCCCCGGGGGGACTTCGCAGCCCTACCTTTGAATGTTCCATTTCTCAGTTCTCAACACTTCAGGGTATTCACAGTTATGTATTTATTAGAATATTTATATCCATCAGTGGCAATAATCCTCAAAGATCCCACCTCTCCTCCAGGGCTCTGAACCAATTTTTGTGATTTGGGCTTCATGCAAACCCAAGTGATTGTCAGCCAATCAAAGCCCATGGAAGTCAACTGGCTGAAAGGCAGTGAGCCATCCTCAGCTTAAGAAGGGTGAAGAAAAGGGTTCCCCCCCCCCTTTGGGCAGGGATTTTGTGGCTCTGCATGGGAGCATCAGTTTAGCCAGGCTTTTATTTGGCTTTTATTTAGGGTATGGAGGTCAGCTCCAGGAAGAAAGCTCGTTTTAATGTGACAAACAAGCATCCTGTTAAGGGCCCATCATTCCTATCTTGTGTGTATAAGTTCTGTGGAAAGGTGCTCTGTGTGGGAAAAGAACAGCCTTGAACCTGCTGAAGTAACTTGACTAGAAAAAGGGGAATCAAATCTCCATTTAGAGTTTATTTACTTAACCGGAGAGCCAGTTTTACTTCATATGTTGAAGTCATCCACACATAACAGTTCCCCACTAAATACTTTATCCTGTTTAAATAAACCTTTGCTGTTGATCGCCATCTGTGTCTGTCAGGTCAAATATCTAAAGAAAAAGTGATATATGTTTATCTCACAAATAAGTACAACCTTGGTCAAGCAGGTTTCAAAATAAGATACCTTTAGGGAGACCATAGTTTACACGATGCGACCAATCTAACAATCAAAGCTTGTGTCCCCCTTATTGATTGT